AGAAAGACTGCTGACGGAATCCGTGAAGAGGAGTAGCAGGAGAAGGAGCATCTGAACGAGCGGAAGATGCCAACGAGCGACAACTCCCCTCAGCAGAGGTGTTGGAGCCTTGACTGGCTGATAGAGGGCGATTGACGTCGGGTGACGGAGCAAGTAACGGAGCGGGTGATGGAGCGGGGGCTGGGGCGGGCAGAAACCGCCGTATCTTTATCACGGTTTTCCCAGGCCACCAAAATGGCGACGCTGCATATGCTGCCGCAACGCTGTAGTCCCAACATGGGCCCCCTGGCCACGCTTGACTTTCTGGCCACATAGTCGACATACGGCTACGTTTACTTCCTCGGCGGCTTGACGAAAAATTGCCACACCGCCGAGTAGGAAACTTTGCCCCCCGATACTCCTCACTGGCTGGACTGCTGCTGCAACATCCTCCGTGCACACCGGCACCACTACTGGCCGATGGTGGTAGGCTGCAGTGGAGCTGGTGCTACTACTCCGTGGCCGTTTGGCCTCCACTGACACTGCTGCGACCCTGCTGCCTCCTGGGCAACCCACCGACTGTGTTTGCTCGCTGCCAAGCTGCCACCCTCTTCTCCTGATGATGCGGAAGAAATTGCCTGATGACGACGAGGCTGCCAAGTGCGATCAACCTCATCATCATCAAGTAGGGTCTCCGCCTCACTACTAGCCCCCTCGGCTGCGTGTGGGTCAGGAGACAGACCTGTCTCTAGACCGGCTACCGAGCCACTCTCCTCGCCACTACTTCTTCGCCTGGCTGCTGAAAAGGCGGATGTCTCCCCCCGTTCCTGACCGCCCTCTGTTAGCTCTTCCTCACTGTACAGTGGGGGCTGAGCCCACAGCATGCGATACTTCGCTTGGTGAGGAACACCAAAGGACAGGGGCAGGTAGAGGACAAAATCGTGATTTCAGTGGGCTGTGTCCCTAAATGGCCAACTAACGTGGGGGTGGTACGGGGGGGGGTGGGGACCGTTGGGGGTGGGGGGGGTCAAGGGGTGGGGGGGGTGGGGGGGGGGGTGGTGGGGAGGGGGGGGTGGCGGGGGGGGGGGTGGGGGGAGTGGGGGGGGTGGGGGGGTTGGGTGTGGGGGGGGGGGGGGGGGGGGGGGGGGGGGTGGGGGGGGGGGGGGGGGGGGGAGGGGGGTGGGGGGGGGGGGGGGGATTGGGGGTTGGGGGGGGTGTGGCCTCTCCTAAGTCCATCCACAGTGGGGGCTACATAGCCTGGTAAAACTCCCTACCTTGGAGGGATGTGTGGGGGGTGGGGGTGGGTGGGGGGGGGGGGTGGGGGGGTTGGTAGGATCGGGGGGGGGGGGGGGGGTGTGGGGGGGGGGGTGTGTCGGGGTGTGGGTGGGGGGGTCCTAATGGTTCTGGTGCTGGGGAGCATAACAACGGGGGGGGTGTGGGGGATGTGGTGGGGTGTCCCTGGAGTAACAATTCTGTGTCTGTCCCTGGTAAACAATTCTGTGGGGGGGTAGTGGGGGGGGGGGGTGGGGGGGTAACAATTCTGTGGGGGGGGGGGGGGTGGGGGGTTATGTGGGGGGTGGGTTCAGTGGGGGGGTGGTAACAATTCTGGTTAGTAACAATTCTGTGGGGGGTGTATGGTGATGGGGGGTGGGGTAACAATTCTGGGCCCAGTAACAACAGTTTTCTGAAGTGCCCATGGGGGGGGGTTTGTGTGTTGGGGGGATGTGCAACAATTCTGTGGGGGGGGAGTAACAGGGTCTGTGGGGGGGGTAAACAATTCTGGGGGGGGGGGGAAGTGTTGGGGGGTGGGGGGGGGGGGGGGGGGGGGGGGGGGGGGGGTGGGGGGGGGGGGGGGGGGGTGGGGGGGGGGGGGGGTGGGGGGGGGGGTGGTGGGGTGTTGGGGGGGGTGGGGTGGGTTTGGGTAGGGGGGGGGGGGGGTGGGGGGGGGGTTGGTTATTGGAGGGGGGGAAAGATGTTATTGGAGGGGGGGGGAAAGTGGTTATTGGAGGGGGGGGAAAGTTTTATTGGAGGGGAGGGGAAAGTGTTATTGGAGGGGGGAAAGATGTTATTGGGGGGGGGGGTGTTATTGGAGGGAGGGAAAGTTGTTAGGGAGGGGGAAAGTTGGTTATTGGAGGGGGGGAAAGATGGTTATTGGAGGGGGGGGAAAGTGTTATTTGGAGGGAGGGGGGAAAGTTGGTTAGTGAGGAGAAAGGTGGTTATTTGATTGGAAGGGGAAAAAGGTTATGGAGGGGGGGTAAGTTGGTTAGGGGAACAAACTGGGGGGAAAGAATTATTGGAGGGGGAAAGTGGTTTGGTTGGAGGGGGAGGAGTTGGTTAGGGGAGGGGGGAAAGATGTTATTGGAGGGGAAAGTGGTTATTGGAGGGGGTAAGTTGTTAGGGGAGGGGGAAAGATGTTATTGGAGGGGGGAAAGATGTTTATGTGGGGGGTGGTAGGGGAGGTAAAATTGGTTATGGAGGGGAAAGTGTAACAAAATTGTGTCCCTGGTAACAATTCTGTGGAGGGGGGGGAAACAATTTAGGGGAGCCCTAAGTAACAGTTCTGTGGCCCTCAGGGGGAAATTCTGTGGAAAACAATTATTGTGGCCCTAAGTAAAAGGGTTTCTGTGGCCCTCAGTAAAAAGTTCTGTGTCCCTGGAGTAACAATTCTGTGTCTGTCCCTGAGTAACAATTCTGTGGCCCTAAGTAACGGTTTCTGTGGGGTAACAATTTCTGTGTCCCTGAGTAACAATTCTGTGGCCCTAAGTAACAGTTCTGTGGCCCTCATTACAATTCTGTGTCTCCCTCAGTAACAATTCTGTGTCTGTCCCTGAGTAACAATTCTGTGGCCCTAAGTAACGGTTTTTCTGTGGCCCTCAGTAACAATCTGTGTCCCTGAGTAACAATTCTGTGGCCCTAAGTAACGTTTCTGTGTGGCCCTCAGTAACAATTCTGTGTCTGCCCTGTAACGTTTCTGTGGCCCTAAGTAACAATTCTGTGTCCCTGAGTAACAATTCTGTGGCCCTAAGTAACACATTCTGTGTCCTGTGCCCTAAGTAACAATTCTGTGTCCCTCAGTAACAATTCTGTGTCTGTCCCTGAGTAACAATTCTGTGGCCCTAAGTAACGTTTCTGTGGCCCTCAGTAACAATTCTGTGGCCCTCAGTAACAATTCTGTGTCCTGTAACCTGGCCCTAACAACTGTGGCCCTAAGTAACAATTCTGTGGCCCCTCAGTAACAATTCTGTGTCTGTCCCTGAGTAACAATTCTGTGGCCCTAAGTAACGTTTCTGTGGCCCTAAGTAACAGTTCTGTGGCCCTCAGTAACAATTCTGTGTCTGTCCCTGAGTAACAATTCTGTGGCCCTAATAACGTTTCTGTGGCCCTAAGTAACAGTTCTGTGGCCCTCAGTAACAATTCTGTGTGTCTGTCCCTGAGTAACAATTCTGTGGCCCTAAATTCTAACGTTTTCAATGTGGCCCTAAGTAACAATTCTGTGGCCCTCAGTAACAATTCTGTGTCTGTCCCTGAGTAACAATTCTGTGGCCCTAACTAACGTTTCTGTGGCCCTAAGTAACAGTTCTGTGGCCCTCAGTAACAATTCTGTGTCTGTCCCTGAGTAACAATTCTGTGGCCCTAAAGTAACGTTTCTGTGGCCCTAAGTAACAGTTCTGTGGCCCTCAGTAACAATTCTGTGTCTGTCCCTGAGTAACAATTCTGTGGCCCTAACTAACGTTTCTGTGGCCCTAAGTAACAATTCTGTGGCACTCAGTAACAATTCTGTCTGTCCCTGATAACAATTCTGTGGCCCTAACTAGCGTTTCTTTGGCCCTAAGTAACGATTCTGCTCTGTGTCCCTGAGTAAATGCTTCACTCTGTCCCTAAGTAAGGGTTTCTCTGTCCCAAGTAACCGTTTCTGTGGCCCTAACTCTGTCCCTAATACAGAGCGGTCTGCCTCTCGTTGAATGACTGGAGGCAAATGAAGAATTCTAAAATAATTTGCTATTTTAATTAGCTCCGACCATTAGGCTATATATTTCGATTCGGCGCTCGAATCGAAAATTTTTTAATATTCGACTCGAATTCCACTTCGCCTACTTCGATTCGCTCATCTCTCTACTAACAATCTATACCATTTGCTCTTCTAGACATAGAAAATGGGTAACGACTCTCCTGGCTTAGGTCTTCTTCTGGTAATCATTGTTAAAAGATGCTTATCAGAGGGAGTCAGCCCCCAATTTTTTACGACAATCTGTACTTGTCAGTCTAGGTGATAATCTAGATCAGTGGTTTCTCAAACCTTCCTAATGCCGCGACCCTTTTAATACAAGTTATTGTATGGATGTTGTGGTGACCCCCAACCATAAAATTATTTTCGTTGCTAACTTCATAACTGTTAATTTTGCAGTGCGGGAGGAGGTAGTGCCACATCATAGGATGTCCAGTGGAGGGAGTAAAGTGCCACATCACTGTATTTCAGTGGTAGGAATTAATGGTCCCCCAACGTTTGGTATCAGTGGGGAGGACTAGTGTCCCATCATTGGTATCAGTGGGAGGAATAGTGAGCCCCATCAATGGTAGTCAGTGTGGGAGTGAATAGTGCCCCATCATCATGGTGTCCAGTGGGGGCGGTATAGTGCCCCATCATTGGGTGTCAGTGTGGGAGGAATAGTGCCCCCATCTTTGGTTTGGTCAGTGGGGGGCGGGATAGTGCCCCATCATTTAGATGTAAGTGTCGGGGGGAATAATGCCTCATCCATTGGTTGTTCCGCAGTGTTTGGGGGGAATCGTAGTGCCCCATCATTGGTGTCAGTGGGGGGGAATAGTGCCCCATCATTGGTGTCAGATGGGGTGGGAATAGTGCCCCATCATTGGTGTCAGCTGGGGGGGAAAAGTCCCCCATCATTGGTGTCCAGTGGGGGGGGGAAATAGTGCCCCATCATTGGTGTGTCCAGTTGGGGGGGGAAATAGTGCCCCATCATTGGTGTCAGTGGGGGGAATAGTGCCCCATCATTGGTGTCATGGGGGGGGGAATAGTGCCCCATCGTTGGTGTCAGTGGGGGGGAAGTAGCGCCCCTATCGTTGGTGTCAGGGGGGGAGGGGATAGCGCCCCATCGTTGGTGTCAGTGGGGGGAGGAATAAGCGCCCAAATCGTTGGTGTCAGGTGTGGGGAAATAGTGCCCCATCGTTTGTGTCAGTGGGAGGAATAGTGCCCTATCATTGGTATTAGTGACACCAATGATGGAGCACTATTCCTCCCACTGACACCAATGAACTTACCTTGCTAACCCCTCGCCAGAGCCAGGATCGCTCTGGGGACATTGTCCCTCTCCCATCTACAGCTAGCATACCTGGCTGCAGCTGCACCATCTGCACGGTACAGACACTTACTGGTCAGTTTGTCTTCTTTCTCCCGCCACTCTCCTCTTCACTCGTCGCTCCAGCAGCTCCCGGGTCAACTCTATCTTCTTTGAATCTTCATGCTGCTCCGTTCGGCTCCTCCTCTCCAAGCTCCACCTGCTCACCACTCGGTTGATTTGGCTGCCAGTGTGCCTGAGCTACAGTTTCCATCGGCCAATCACCGGCGAGGAGGTGGTAGCTGCTGAAATGTGATCCAGGGTGGTGTGACCAAAATGACAGTGGGTGGCATGTGATCCCTCCCCACACAATCGCGGTACAGGGAAATGTGGGGCGTATCTGCATGTGGGCAGACCCGCCTGGAGACGGATAAGAAGCGGCTGTCTCGGATCCTAAGGACCATCGGTAATATGTGTTTTGTTCCGTTAGTCTTAGGCGACCCCTGTGAAAGGGTCGTTTTAGAACCCCCCAAAGGGGTCAGGACCCACAGGTTGAGAACCGCTGAGATCTAGATAATACTGTACCACAGATAAATATCTGTGATGCGGATATTAATACATATGGTGCAGACACCAAGACATTCCCTGTGCAAAATCACATTTTGCAAATTCACTGTTTCTGATGCACGTGTTGCAAATCTGTAACACTATTGTTGTTCATGTAATGTTTTTTGAAGGTAACATGGTTCTTTAGCTGCTACACTTCTTTAAACTAGCCATTCACTTTACAATCACCTTTACAAACCCATCTCTGTATACTGTTTGAGACAATTTACTTTAGCTGTGCCAAAAACTATGTACTAACAAATCTAAACAATGCCTTCACCATCCATATAAATCAGGCAGGCCATTGTACTTAGCCCTGGTTCACACAAACTGTGCATTATGTGAGTTGCCATTTTATTTTTGGCAATGGATTCACATGACAAGTGAAATTATATGTGTTCCTATTTTGGTCCAGTCATATTAGATGCATCTGAGCACAGTGTGATCTTGGTTAAAAGGATCCCTTGTGAGTTTTAGAGTGTTTGGGTCCAAGTCTAAACATTCAGCTACAATGGGAAACTATCAGATGCGAGGGGAAAAACAAGATGAATAGCAAACACTGTTATACGTGGTACAAATCAATGAAAACATCTGTCTAAAAATTTATGCTACCCAGCTTAATTTGGCACTACTGTTACAGCACCAACATTTACCAAATCTTCTCTCATTTCATGCCAAGTTATTCAAGCCCATTGATACCAATGCATTACCACTGTTTTATTGGGAAATTATTTGACTTGGGGGTATATTCATTGGTCTAAATAAATCATCCACTTTTGCGTAACACTTCAAACAGTAATCATTATTAAGGCTGGGGGCAATGGCACAGTGCAGATAGACCCATAATACGAATTCAGAGTGGAAGAGATGCTTATATGAAGAGCTGTGCCAAGTAAATCATCATCATCAGCCAGCAAAAACAAATTCTCAAAAAAAAAATATCTTAGTAAACTCATAGTATACACCATTTGGGAATGTATTTCAGGAAAAACCGCTAAATGAGTAACCATGTTGTGTTGCTGCACTCTATAGTACAGACTCTTTTCAATAGCACATTTTTGTGCAATTGACAATCAATGGCACTGCAGTGAGCTAAAATGTGTGGCATGATACAGCACACATTGTGAACAAAAAAAGGTGTGAAACCTTACAATCATCTGCTGATATGTGGGTACATTCATTGACCTTTGTGATGTAACTAGTTGCTTAGGACTTTTCAAGTCTAGAAGTTCCCTATCTACTAAATTCTCCTGAATTAGATAAAAATGTATTTTATCTGGCCTGTTTCATACATCAGGGAAATCTGTTACATGACTTCACTAGAGTGGTTCTAAATAATCCAGAATATTTGTGCACAAAAGCCTGATTTTTGGATTATAAAATTTGGAAGCATCCCCGATGACATTTACCAACCCCTGCCTCTTAATAACTTGGCAGCATACATTTAATACTGAAAACATACTTGGCAGCTTCTGTTTATAATGAATGACTGCTATGCTGCACAAGGCATTTAAATAGAATTTAATGTGATATAGGTTTAAATTGAAACAATAATTATTTGGAGTCCATTTTATTGGTTTTTTTAAAGTTTTAGAACTTATTAAACTGATGTTTTATATAAAATTTGTGCTATATGCAATATTTTTTAAACAAGCAAACAATACATGAAAAGGATTAGAAGAGCACTATTGGCTTTCTAAGCAGCAAAGCACAGCCATCATTATCTTCTTAAACAAATGATGCCCTTTGATGAAATTTTTAGATTCCAAACAACTGCTCTACTTTTCTCCATATTTCTTTACTCCAATTTTTGCACATCAGTTAATACACAGCAAACTTTGAGCATTCAGTAATTTAACCACTTGCTGACCAGCCACTGTATAAAAACGGCAACAGGGCTGACACAAACCGCTACCCGCTGCGCAAAATCACATTTTAAAAACGTCCATTTTGCAAACAGGTAGGGAGCACGCGACCCACCCTACCCCGCCGCCGCCGAACGCGGCCGCGGGTGTCCCAATCACCGGGTCCCGGCTTGGTCATTACCCGCTCCGGATCCCGGCGATTGCCAGCAAACACTGACACAGGTGCAACAGTTGCATTGTTTACAATAAAAGCTCAGCTCCCTGTCAGTTCCCCAACACAACACAGTTCCTGAGAGCAGAGTTTAGCTCTCGGATCAGTGTGTTCCTGTGAAGTTCCCCCCCCCGGCCCCACTAGTAAAACATTCCCTCACACAGTTAACCCCTTTGATTGCCTAAAAAATGTTAACCTCTTCCCAGGCGGGTGGACGGACTGACAACTCATGGGGCCCCCAGGGCAAAGGGGATCATGGGGCCCCTGTAATCCTTGCTCAAACTCAAAAAAGCCTATGAAAAAGGTACCAGGGGCATCTCATGGGCCCTACTGACCCCGGCCCCTCGGACAGCGCCCGAGTATTCCAAATGGCCAGTTTGCCCCTGCCCCTTGCCCCCCCCCCAGTGCCATTAGTACAGTGTCAATGTTTTTTTTTTTTGCACTGATCACTCTATTGGTGTCTACTGGGGATGTCAGTGACCCCAGTCAGTTCCCCCCCAGTGTAAAAAAAAATGTCCGCTGCAGTCCCGCCATAAGTCACTGATCAATGTCATAAATCGCTGATCACGCGCCATAAGTCGCCTGATCGCCACCATTATTAGTATAAAAAAAAATCCCGGTATCTTTCCCTCAGCCATTTGTAGACACTATAACTTTCACGTAAACCAATTAATTTACACGTATTGGGATTTTTTTTATAGTAAAGACATGTCTCGCAGAATACATTTTGGCTGAAGATTTATGATGAAATTTGATTTTTAAATTTTTTTTTACTTGGACATTGTTTTATAGCAAAAAGTCCAAAATATTGTTTTTATCTCAAATTGTCAGCCTTTTTTTTTTATAGCGCAAAAAATAAAAAACGTACAGGCAATCAAATACCACCAAAAGAAAGCTCAATTCGTGGGAAAAAAAGGACATAAATTTAATTTGGGTGCAGAGTGTTGCATGACCGCACATTTGTCAGTTAAAGTAACGCAGCGACGTAACACAAACCCTCTTCTGGTAACCCGGCATCCTTCCTGACCACCCTATAGCAGAAATATACTGCTGCGACACAGGGGCGGCATGGGTGCGCAAAAACACAACATGATATATATTATACATGATTCAAGCACCTGTAGTTTGCATCAAATTACATCACGCCCTCCACCCAGATAGCTTCCCAAAGTAATTGCCCTCAGTACACAAGTCATCACATTTAACCCCTTGACTGCCAGGAAGACGCTTATGCACAAAAACCTCCATTGATATATAAGTGTCCTGAACAATCAATATCTTTAACAGATCAGCACTATACCAGCATTCACATTAATATAGCATCCCCCAAAAAACCCTCAGCGTTAGCGGATCATCCCCTGACACTGCACTTGCTGGGGGAGAAGGGGGGGGGTAATGCCATAGGGTCTAAAACGCAGTTGCTGGCAAGTGTCAGGATATCCCGCTTAACGCTGATTTTTGGGGGATGCCATACTAATGTAATGCTGGGATAAGTGCTGATCTGTTCAAAGAATGATCTGTTTCAGACACTATACTATCAAGTGAGGTATATTGTGCATAAGCGTCTTCCTGGCAGTCCCAAGGGTTAAATGTGATGACTTGTGTACTAATGGGCAATCTGGAAGCTATTCTGGGGAGGGGCGTGAAAACTACAGAGCTTGAATCATGTATATAAACTATAAGGTGATTTGCGCCCCCATGCCCCCTGTAGCCCCCCAAAATAAGTTTTTTTAAAAAAAAAAAATTCTGCTATAGGTGGTCAGGATAGCGTTACAGAAGTAGGTTTGTGTTACGTCGCTGCGTTTACTTAACTGACAAATGTGCGGCCCCCCACCCCACTCATGCAACACTGCACCCCAAAATTAAATGTATGTCCTTATTTTTCCCACGAATGAGCTTTCTTTTGGTGTATTTGATTGCCCTGTACTTTTTTTTTTTATTTTTTGCGCTATAAAAAAAAAAGCTGACAATTTTGAGGATAAAAAACAATATTTTGGATTTTTGCTATAAAAACATTCCATAAAAAAAATTAAAAATCGAAATTTCAATTTTCATCATAAACGTCAGCCAAAAGTATTTCTGCACATGTCCCCTTTACTAAAAAAAATCCCAATACGTAGTAAATTAATTGGTTTACTGTGAAAGTCTTATAGTGTCTACAAATGGACGGGGAAAGATACCGGGAAAATTTTTTATATAATAATGGTGCGATCAGCGACTTATGGCGGTGATCAGCGATTTATACATTGATCAGTGACTTAATTCGGACTGCAGCCGGACTTTTTTTACACACTGGGGGGGAACTGACTTGGGGTCACTGATATCCCCAGTGGACACCAATAGAGTGGATCAGTGCAAAAAAAAAACATTAGACACTGGTAACTAATGGCACTGGGAAGGGGCAGGGGCAAACTGGTCCAATTTGGAAACTCAGGGCGCTGTCCGAGGGCCCGGGTCAGTATGGGGCCCATAGAATGCCCCTGGTACCTTTTTCATAGAGCTTTTTTAAGTTTGAGCAAGGATAACTGGGGCCCCCATGATCCCCTATTCACTGGGGCCCCATGAGTTGTCAGTCCGCCCCGGGAAGATGTTACATTTTAAGGCAATCAAAGGGTTAACTGTGTGAGGGACTGTTTTTAAACTAGTGGGCGGGGGGGGAACATTCCACAGAAACACACTGATCCCCGATAGCTAAACTCTGCTCTCAGGAACAGTGTGTTGGGAACAGAGACAGGGAGCAGAGCTTTATTGTAAACAACTGCAACTGTGCACCTGGTGTCATGTTTGCTGCAATCGCCGAGGGATCCGGCGGTAATGACCACCGGACCCGGTGATTGACACCCGCCCGGCCGCGATCGTGGCGGCGCGGGTAGGGTGGTCGCGTGCTCCCTACCTGTTTTTTGCAAAATGACGTTTAAAATGTATTTTGCGCAGCCCGCGGTGTCGCCCTGTTGCCGGTTTTTATACAGTGGCTGGGTCAGCAAGTGGTTAAATACTGAATGCTCCAAAGTTTGCTGTGTAAAAACTGATGTGCAAAAATTGGAGTAATAGAAATATGGAGAAAAGTAGAGCAGTTGAATCTAAAATTCATCAAAGGGCATCAATTGTTTAAGAAGAATAATGATGGCTGTGCTTTGCTCTTAGAAAGCCAATAGTGCTCTTCTAATCCTTTTCATGTATTGTTTGCTTGTTAAAAAATATTTGCATATAGCACAAATTTATATAAAACATCAGTTTAAAAAGTTCTAAACTTAAAAAAAAACCAATAAAATGGACTCCAAATAATTATTGTTTCAATTTAAAACCTATTTCACAATAAATTCTATTTAAATGCCTTGTGCAGCATAGCAGTTCATTCATAAAACAGAAGCTGTGCCAAGTATGGTTTTCAGTATTAAATGTATGCTGCCAAGTTTTATTAAAGGCAGGGGTTGTAAATGTCATCGGGGATGCTTCCAAATTTTTATAATCCAAAAATCAGCTTTTGTGCACAATATTCTTGGAATATTTAGAACACTCTAGTGAAGTCATGTAACAGATTTCCCTGATGTATGAAAACAGGCCAGATAAAATACATTTTTTTATCTAATATCAGGAGAATTATATAGATAGGGAACTTCTAGACTTGAAAAAGTCCTAAGCAACTAGTTACATTTTTTACATCAAAAGTCAATGAATGTCCCACATATCAGCAGCATGATTGAAAGGTTTCACACCTTTTTTTTGTTCCACAATGTGTGCTGTATCATGCACACATTTTAGCTCACTGCAGTGCCATTGATTGTCAATTGCACAAAAATGTGCTAATGAAAAAGAGTCTGTACTATAGAGTGCATAGCAACACATGGTTACTCATTATAGCGGTTTTTCCTGAAATACATTCCCAAATGGTGTATACTAATGAGTTTAACTAAGATATTTTTTTTTTGAGAATTTGTTTTTGCTGCTGATGATGTGATTTACTTGGCACAGCTGCCTCATATAACATCTCTTCCACTCTGAATTCGTATTATGGGTCGTATCTGCAACTGTGCCATTGCCCCCCACAGCCTTAATAATGATTACTGTTTGAAGTGTTACTAAAGTGGATGATTTATTTAGACCAATGAATATACCCCAAGTCAAATAATTTTCCAATAAATAACAGTGGTAAAAGCAGTGGTATAATGGGCTTGAATAACTTATGAAATAGAGAAGATTTGTAAAATGTTGGTGCTGTAAACAGTAGTGCCAAATTAAAGCTGGTAGCATAATTTTTAGACCCGATGTTTTCATTATTTGTACCACGTAAACAGTGTTTGCTATTCCTCTTGTTTTTCCTCTCGCATCTGATCGTTCCCATTGTAATGAATGTTTAGACTTGGACAAACACTCTAAAACTCACACGGGAATCCTTAACCAAATCACACTGTGGCTCCAGATGCATCTATATGACTGACCAAAATAGGAACACATATTAATTTTCACTTGTCATGTGAAATCCACAAAACTAAAATGGCAACTCATAATGCACATGTGTGAACCAGGCTAAGTACAATGGGCCTGCCTGATTTCATATGGATTGAAGCATTGTTATAGATTTGTTAGTACATAGTTTTGGCACAGCTAAAGTAAATTGTATCAACAGTATACAGAGATGGGATTGTAAAGTGAGATTGCTAAAGTGAATGGCTAGGTTTTAAAGAAGTGTAGCAGCTAAAGAACCATGTTCCCTTCAAAAACACATTACTGAACAACCATAGTGATTACAGATTTGCAACACGTGCATCAGAAACAGTGAATCTTTGCAAAATGTGATTTTGCAACAGGAATGTCTTGGTGTCTGCACCATATGTATTAATATCCGCATCACAGATATTATCTGTGGTACAGATATTAGAATCTAGATCAGCGGTTCTCTCAACCTGTGGTGTCCTGACCCCTTTGGGGTCAAACGACCCTTTCACAGGTGGTCGCCTAAGACTAACGGACAAACACAATATTTCCGATTGTCTTAGGAACCGAGACACCGCTTCCTCTATCCTTCTCCAGGCGGGTTCTGCCCACATGCAGATACGCCCACATTTCCTGTACCCCCCGCGATGTGTGGGAGGGATCACATGCCACCACTGTCATTTGGAGGGTCACACCCCCTGGATCACTCACACTCCACCTCCTCGCCGGTGATTGGCCGATGGAACTGTAGCTCAGGCACACTGGCAAGCCAATCCACCGTGAGCAGGTGGAGCTTGGAGAGGAGGAGCCGAACGGCAGCATGAAGATCAAAGAAGATAGAGTGAGGGAGCTGCTGGAGCGAGTGAAGAGGAGAGTGGCGGGAGAAAGAAGACAACTGACCAGTAAGTGTCTGTACCGTGCAGATGGTGCAAGCTGCAGCCAGGTATGCTAGCTGTAGATGGAGAGGAGGGAGCGAATCCTGGCTCTGGCAGGGGATAGCAAGGTAAGTTCATTGGTGTCAGTGGGAGGAATAGTGCTCCATCATTGTGTCACTAATACCAATGATAGGCACTATTCCTCCCACTGACACCAACGATGGGGCACTATTCCTCCCCCAACACCTGACACCAACGATTGGGCAGCTATTCCTCCCCCCCAACTGACCACCAACGATGGGCGCTATCCCCTCCCCCCCTGACACCAACGATAGGGCGCTACTCCCCCCCACTGACACCAACGATGGGGCACTATTCCCCCCCCCACTGACACCAATGATGGGCACTATTAAAATAGACTACTATTCCCCCCCCTCGGACACCAATGGATGGGGCACTATTTAACCCCCCCCCACTGACACCAACACATGAATGGGGCACTATTTCCCCCCCCCCACTGACACCATGATGGGGGCACTATTCCCCCCCACTGACACCAATGATGGGGCACTATTCCCCCCCACTGACACCAATGATGGGCACTATTCCCCCCCACTGACACCAATGATGGGGCACTATTCCCTCCCCCCACACTGACACCAATGATGAGGCATTATTCCCCCCCCGACACTTACATCCAATGATGGGGCACTATCCCGCCCCCACTGACACCAATGATGGGGCACTATTCCTCCCACACTGACACCAATGATGGGGCACTATACGCCCCCACTGACACCAATGATGGGGCACTAATCCTCCCACAACTCTCGCACTGACACCAATGATGGGGCATCTATTCCTCCCACATGATACCAATGATGGGACACTATTCCTCCCACTGATACCAACGATGGACATTATTCCTCCCACTGAAATCAGTGATGTGGCACTACTTCTCCCCACTGACACCAATGAAGTGGCACAACTCCTCCCACTGCAAAATACAGTTATATGAAGTAGCAACGAAAATAATTTTATGCGGTTGGGGGTCACCACAACATGAGGAACTGTATTAAAGGTCCGCGCATTAGGAAGGTTGAGAACCACTGATCTAGATTATCACCTAGACTGACAAGTGTATAAAAAAAAACAGATCTGTGCATTGGGCTGACTCCCTCTGATAAAGCATCTGTACACATGCTTACCAGAAGAAGACTAAGCCAGGAGAGGTTACCCAATTTCTATGTCCTAGATGAGCAAATGGTATAGATTGTTAGTAGAGATGAGCGAATCGAAGTAGGCGGAAGTGGAATTCGAGTCGAATATTGAAAAACTTTTCGATTCGCGCCGAATCCGAAAAATAGCCTAATGGTCGAGCTATAAATAGCGGCCATTTTAGAATTCTTCATTTGCCTCCAGTCATTCACGAGAGGCAGACCCGCTCTGTATTAGGGACAGATTAGGGCCACAGAAATGTTACTTGGGGACAGAGAAACGTTACTTAGGGACAGAGAAGCATTACTCAGGGCCACAGAATTGTTAATGAGGGCCACCAGAATCGTTACTTAGGGCCAAAGAACCGCTAGTTAGGGCCACAAGAAATTGG